GATAGGGTGAGAATCAGGCACAATGTAGTATACTCATGGTGTTCTCATCTGGACTCAGGGCGGATCGAAAGTTTATGGCTTGCTGGTTTGTTTAAACATTGGGACATAAAAAACTAAACCTCTACCCAGCCTCTCTGTAAGGCGAGTGCTCTCGATGGTCGGCTGTTGTTTAAAGTGACTCACCAAACAGAGCCTTTGGATAGTAAGAGTGTAATGATACCCCACCACGAGACAATGTCTTTTCACTTAATTTAACTCAGCCCAACATCCACTCATTTTGGGGTTTCCCCTGGTTGAAACTTCATAACCCTCACATAGATTGGCAATCTGGAGGGTGGACGGGTGGGGAAAGAATTGCATTGATCTCTGTTTTAAGCAGGTAGCAGAGATTGGACAGGGAGGATGTTAACACTGGGAGTGTTAGGCAGGATACAGTCCCAAAAATATATTCTTCGGAGTGTGTACTTTCCAGTTCTTCCTGTTACCACGACCTTAGTGAAGTCTTTAGTAAGTCCAAAGCTCTGGCTCTTCCTCCTCACCGCTCCTATGACTGTGCTATTGACCTTGATTGCGAGGTCTCCCCATTCCTAAGGGTCGACTTTATGCAATTCAGGACCTGAGAAAGAGGCATGAAGGACTATATTGATGCCTCCCTCAAGACAGGGCTTATTCGTCCATTCCTCATCCCCAGCAGGTTGCAGGTTTTTTTTTCGGTGGGCAAAAAGGATGGGTTCTCTTTAGGCCCTGTATCGACTACTCAGCCTCTCAATGGACATTACGGTTAAAAACGGGTACCCCCTCCCTCTCATCTCGTCCCGCTTTCGAGCAGCTTCAGGAAGCCAAGTTTTCACCAAGTTAGACCCTGCGGACGACGCTATCATTTGGTCAGGATCAGGGAGGGCGATGAATGGAAGACGGGTTTTAACACCCTTCAGGACATTATGAATCCCTGGTCATGCGATTTGGATTGTCAACCCGCTCCTGCAGTCTTCCAGGCTATGATCAACGACGTGTTGTGAGGGGAGTTTCTGGAACCGTTTCGTTTTTGTTTTATCTGGACGACATTCTGATCTACTCCCCTGACCTTCACACCCACAAAAACATGTTTCGCCTGGTTTTCTACAGAACTGCTCCAAATAAAGTTTGTTTGTCAGAAGCTGAAAAGTGTGATATTTCATGTGAGAAACAGTACACTTTTGGGATGGCTTCAATCATTATCTAGGTCAGGTAGTCAGATGGACCAGAGAAGGTTTACGCTGCCAGTACTTATGGCCCCTCCCCTGACTCTCGCCAAAAAAATGCAGCCGGTTTAGGCCTTGCTAATTTTTACCAAGGTGTGTGAGCTTCCAGCCACTACTTAGCGCCCTCTTTCATGTCCTCACGTCCCCAT